ACACCCCGGAACAATACTGGTTAAGACTTTTTTAAAACATAAAGGAGTTTATATGCCATGGGGTTCAAACTGTTTGATCTCCCGAAAGCCGTAGACAATAGATCACGTTTTTTATTGCATTTTTTGGTAAGGGGTTTATTTCTGGGATGCTTTACTGAGAACTCTAAAAAAGGAACTTCCCTTTCATTCAGTGAGTATCAGGTTTTAAACAGTAGAAAAAAAGGAGGGACTGCCTTTTCATCTTATAATGCTGCTTGGCCTCCATTTTCTATGGTGGGCAAAAATGGCCGGTTACTACTGTGACCTTGACAGGCGTACGGCGCGTGTGCTTTTCCGTGAAAGCATTGCTCAGTACACTGATATACTCAAACAACAAGATTTTGTTCCTGAATGGCTCTCCAGTGTTGAACCCCTGGTGAACCTGAAGGAATTTTAGCACTGTAACCACTAATAGTTCCGCGACTGTTTTGTCATCGCTTCTGTTGTGTATGTTATTGTTTACAGTGACTTATATTGATGAGTGTATTTGGTGCAAAACTGGTAATAAGGAAAAAAAGTAAATACGTCGAAGTGTGTGCCGCTGTGGAGAATTGTTGATTGTACTCTTGTTCATTGAGTTCACTCTATATGCGTACTATGTATAACACATGTCCTTCTGTGCATGTTTAGCTATATGCATTGCATCATCATATATTAGGCGTCCAGTGTCAGTGAATACATGAATGGGCTGAGTCGCGAACCATCCGCAAGAGAGCCGTGATGCTGGATATGACATCGTACGTCACCGCAGGCAATCTTTTTTTAGTATCGTTCAGTCCCTCGAGATGGCGCCAGCTACCGCCTACTTCGCAGCTGTGGTCCTCTCACAGGTCCATCTACTCCTATAAGGTTGAACATATCTATCTATCAAAATTGCACTACTGAGTCGTAATGGTATCACGGCGATCTAGTCTATGGTTTAGAGGCACATCTCATGACCTGCGGCCCCGTAAACGCCTGAATGACGTCGCTACACTATGTAAATCTGCCAGAAATAAATGCAGGGTGATTCCACGAGAGATCAACACGGGTCCAAAAGTTGATATTTTAGATTTCGTTGAGTATTTTATATTTTGTGCACCCCTCACCAGGTAGCCCGAAAGTCAACTTCATTTTATGATTAACAGCATAACTTACAAGAAAATAATACCAAACTTCACCAACACGGACGGACCAATTTCGTCACCTGTCATTTTCGAAAAGTGCAGATGCTATAAAAAGACAAATATTTTTGTTTCTAGCAAGATATTTTTCACCCGAAATGCATGTCTAATGAAGAAAGAATTCATATGGTTTCAAGTTTTTAGACCTTAAGAAAATAGCTTTTTAAAATGTCTAAAAGCTTTTTAAAATTTTTCGACAGTTTAAACTAAGTTACGTATTCCCCAGTTTTTTCTCCGAAAGTAAAGCAAGCAGCGTTTTCAAACTTGACACGTTTTAAGAGTATAGTGTGTTCATTAGGTACATAAATTATTGCTGCCGTAGGGCAAATGTAATTTTTTACATATTGCCTCAACATTCTCATATTGGCAAAAGTGTACTCCACTGAAATTTGAATAATAATAAACCCCGTCTTCTATTTTTCTTAAAATCTCGTAAATAGACAACCGAGAGCCACCATACAGTAATATGGAGAAACATGTTGCATTATTTTGTTTTTAGTGACAATATTCGTGGTACAAATCAGAACTTTTCGAGAATGCGCTGATAATTTGAAAAATCTAGAAATCGCAACGAAAAAGCGGCAATAAGCTTCAAACACGACTAGACGTGACCGCATTTGGTGAAGAAAGGCAGTTTTAGCAGATAGGAGTAACTCTTTTGAACACGGTATTCTACAGTATCTGAATTCACTCTTATACGTAGAGCACTGAGACTTCTAATATGTGGTGCCTCTCCATTACTAACACACAGATGGAGCTGCTGTAACGGCCATCTGTTTGCAACACGTTGGGTAAGAGAACTGAATATTAAATTAGTTCATAAACGATTCATAACAAATTTTTATCATTTGGGGCATGAAGACTGCCGCATTAGAGTGAAGAACACGCTTTAGGGCAAGTTGTCATCCGTCATCTGCTCTACAGATGAATTGCAGTGCGGCGAATCTCGGAGGCAATGCTTTAGATTATATGGTTCAAAGTACGGACAAAGATTACACCTCCCGTATTTTTATCGACAAACACATTGTGAAATTCATTTTAACGTACTATACTTCAGTTTTGCATTCGTACTGTGGATACTTGCGCACAAAAATCCACAGTGCGAATGCAAAACTGTTTTTATCATCAAAGGTTTGTCTGCTTGTTTTTATAATCATTTCATTCAATATCAAGCTCAGTGGCACCGTTTTTTGTAACTGTCAGTGCCGTGTACTCTGTATCCGCCGAGAATCGATGCATTTCCTAAGCCTACTCGCTTTGCTAACCTGGGTTCAGCCACCTTGATTTTCATAGGGAGGAATATATTTCTCCGTGGCAAAAGGAGCAACGTTTCTTCATTTAAAGACGAACATTGGGGACATCACCATTTCTCTCTAAATGGAGAGAACGTCACCCCATTTTTTAAGACTGAACGCTGAGATCGCCGAAGCTCATTGCGCTCTGCCGTGATTCCTTGCAGAGCAGCAAGTTGGGTATGCAAGTATGAGCCTACTGGCTCACTTACGCGCTGCTCAGGCATAGCTGAGAGCATTGGAGAGTCTGACGACTCACTTAAGCGTCCCTCAGCTGTAGCTGGGGACGGAGAACCCTGACGCGAAACGTGGTAACCTGAAGGTCTAGAAGCAAGTCCATTAATATTAGAAAGTATACTTGCATGGGGACAGGCCTCGTCAGTCAAGTATTGATGCGAGGCTGAGAAGAGTCCGAGGACTCTGAAGCGTGCGTGGTGCATGGTAAAACTTCATGGTGGCTGGGCGCTATAGCCGGATTTGAAACCAGTGCCTGAATACCATTTTCCCCAGGGAAAGATGGTGATGCTGCAGGAATAGGGATAGAAACCAGTCGTAGAACCGAGGCAGAGTATTGCGACTGGCTGCGCAAAGGTATTGAAGAGGGCAAGCGTTAACGTGGTTCCCTTTCGGATTGTACGATCACAAGTTTGAAAACACTCCAAACCGATTCGTCACCGAGCCTAAATACTTGGGATTGCACTGTCGACATAACGGTAAACGGACCTCTTTACGTGTGTTTTTTCCCTAGAACGTGTACTTTGACTCTTTGGCCAACCTGAACGAATGAAGGTTCGGCTCCACGCTTCTGATCGACATAATTCTTTATATAATTCTGCCTACGAAAAACACACGTCCTTATGGTATAGCCCGAAAATGACAGCAAAGTAGACGGATAACAGATCAGTTATGTCAACCGCTGTGCGAAGTTAACGCTTAGGAATCAACATCGTGGAAGACGATCCCGTAGTTGCCTGACCAGAAAAGCGGTAAGTACCTAAGTACTGCGTAATTGCCTTCTTTAGTTAACGTCGTTCTAGTTCAGCTACTTGAATGTGCTCCTTCAAGACCCTGCATATCCACGGGATGAATGATGGAGAGTGGGGCGAAGCATTCGTCCGTCCATTCGTTCTTGCTTTCCTCCGTCCATGTATCTGTCTCTGTGACCCTCCATGCGTCCATCCAACTGTCCGTGCGTGCGTCTGTTCTTACGTCCGCAAGTACATCCGTGCGTCTACCTCTGCGTTCGTCCATGCATCCGCCCCTGCGTCCGTTCATGCGTCCATCCGTCCATGCTACCATCCGTGCGTCCGTCCATGCATCTGTCTGTGTGTCCGTTCGTCCATCTAGCCTACACTCCAAGTACCACCATCTTGCATCTTTTCATCATGTATTCCACATATAGAAGCACCGCCGTCCAGCGGACATTCTAAGGACTAAACGAGAGGTGGACATCCACATTTTCTTACGGCTTGCGCTTCGTGTCTACTTCCCACCTTTTACCCCCTCAGGTTCATGGTATATACTAGTTAACTGTATTCATGGCACTGCGGCCCAACGCTCGCTTAACCTTTCTAAAACCAAAGAGGTTACGCCCAGCGAGTATAACCTAGCCACCCTTTGTTGTCAGATAGTGTTCAATGTACATGCCAATGGCTGCTAATGGGGAATGAGAGATAGGAGAATTCGGCTCTCAGTTAAGGCGTACGCTGCGAATTTCTTATTGTTCAACAATGCACAGAAATCTCCCACCGGCACCACCTTGCAGGTCAAAGCGTAAGACATGTTACGCACAACTACGAGGGACGAACGGGCGGCGCTTTAAGGAGCTACAACCCTAAAAGGGCTGCCTAGCTCTACAGGAAGTGAGTGGAAATGATGTACTGCTTCTCTGTGCTAACTTTGCACCACCCAACGCAAGCTTGCCACAGTGTTTTTTTTTAACCTGTAGCTAGGTAAACTACAAAGCTTTCCTGTTTTCACTTTTATAGAGATCCGAATGAAGGGACGAAAAATCGAATTTGGGCCTGCATTAATACCAGCATGGAACTTTCGGCGTTTGAAAACATCTAAAGAATTCGTTATTTTTTTGCGCGAATCAGATTCTGATTGTAATTTTATAATGAAGTTTATGTTGCCTTGCTATGACATTCAGTTTAGACACCTAGGGATGTTGTTCTTGTCTTACGTTTTATATTAGTTCATTATGTTCAATGTGTCTTCCCTTTATTCCTGGATGCCTGTCTTGTCTCAACTGTGTTAATCGCCTGCTTGCCGCAATGGAAAGAGAAGTTTAAGACGTTTGTCGGGCCGTATAGTCTTTAGAATCAACGTTCCGTAAAAATTTGGTATAACTACGCGTCAAGTGAGTTGAGTTCAAGGCACAATAGAGTCTTGAATTTCCGACATAGCTTGTAGCGATTGGCAATGCTAAACTAGGGCTGCCAGGGTCATCTAGGGTCGGTAGTATAGACTATTTTCAGAAGCTAGTTCTTTTAAGTAAGCGACACTAGCTGGCATCACCGCAGCGACGCACCACGGCCTTCTCCTCGGCGGCTCGGCTTTGATGTCGCGTGTGGCGCACGTAGCGCTGCAGCCTACGGCGAGAAACAGGCGCTGCAGACTATGTGGGCACAGGCGCAAAAAAATATGTTTTGTTTGCATTTTGCGGGGCCCTGTGCACAGCCGGGCGACGATGTGAGAGTATGTGAAACACCTAATCCTAACCGTTGCGCCCACTTTGCTGGCCTTCAACCCGAGAGCGGTTGCGGTGAATGAAGAAGGGGAAAAGAGAAGCCGTCAGTACACGTGTTCAAACGTGTAAGTGCCCGCTCGCTGCTACGGAAAACTGTCTATTGGTGAAACTGTGTTATCACGTCAGTGCAACACGACTTGCACGGCGGAAGATAAATAAAAAAGGTGGCTCATCTCTCCGTCTGAGTAATTGGTGTAACACGAAAGTAAAACGTCTGCTTACTGAAGTTTAGTGCTTACTGTACATTGATAAAAGATAGCTTATACGACGTCGGTTGGCGTTGTACTGCTAAATTTCGGCACCGTTTTTCGTATGTGCATCTGCGCTGTCTCTTTGTGACCCCGACAACAAACGTTCATGATTGATGATTGATTGATTAATGATTAACATATCGTTGTCGTGGATGCCTATAGTAGCTCTAGTAGTGAACGGTCAGAGCGGAAACCATAAAAAGCGGTGTGACAACCAGAAGAGCGTGATTGAATTTACGCCAGGAGCAGAAAAAGCTCCATGGCTTCACATGAGTGCTTAGACTACACACACACACACAGGTACACTTGGGCTAAGGCCGCCTACTCGCGGCATGTTAGAGTGATTGAAACGCACTTCTCGATTAAAGGGAGACGCAACGCGTGTTGTTTACCTGGCGAGGATGTCGCTTGGCAAGCGAAAGCGGTGCACGCGGAGTTTATTCCAGGCAAAGCCAGCCCATTGCTCTATGCGTTGCAGAACTGTTTTCGATGGGGTTGGATGCTATGATCCACACCGACACTTTGAGTGAGGTCGCCACCAGCCATTGTGTTGAGGTGGTAACGAAATAGCACTTCTCCTAATGGAAATTGGAAACACACCAATAAGACGGATGCGTGAAACGGTGTGTTGAAGGAGCTAATCAGTGATTCCATGATCATGATGCATTATTACACATTTCTAGAGTACAGTGAGAGGGCGCGTTTTTAAAGTCTACAGAGTATGTGACCGAGGAGCAGTTGGTAGCAAACGTGCCCGGCACCCGGCAGCAGTTGTCGCCGGCCCAGAGGTCGTGGTTCTACTCCTGTTCACGGCACTTTTTGTTTGTCTTCTGAAAGTGTTTAGTTAAATGTAGTTTCCGTGACGGATGTACGTCATTGTCATCTTGGTGGTTCCCGGCATAACACAGTTTTGGGGTAAAGAAGGTTTGGTGCTATGAAACAAATCTGTTGACAGTGGTTTTATTTTGTAGCACCACTACTTTGGTACAACGTAAACCTATTAGTGGCTGTTGAAGGTCGAAAGTATTACAAGGGAAATAACTTCGACGACGAAGAGGCCGAGTTATAAAGTGAGCTCGGGAATAGGCGGATGCCTTGGGTGTACCCGCTCATCGAGGCCGCCCAACACCCGCACGTGGTACACGAAGAACTCATACACGTACATCATATCAGGCTTCGTGTAGTGAAAGGCCACAGCCGTGTCGCTGCAGCAATTCCAGCCCTGCGAACAATTGAAGCGCCGTGATTATCACTGAAGCATGCCAGCAGGGCAACTGGAAGCTTGCAAGCAACCAGTCATTCAGGTGTATATGACTGGTCATTCTCTAAAAGTGGCTAAACGAAGCCCTTACTTTCGCTAGTTGGTTCACGAATTTTGAAGTAAAAAACATTTTAGCGGAAAGCGACACACGCACAGGCAGAAACCACGAGATTGGCGCTCACTTTAAACTATGTTTACAGAAAAAACTTACGTACTTTCATACACAACACACAGCAGCAAGGGGCATGACCCTCGCAATAATCAAACCCGAAACCGAAAGTCAGCAAAAGATCTTATCTCAAATATTGCATCACAAATACGAGACACAATTATGGCGGTTGCACGCATGTTTAGCAGACTGCGAATCAGATTGTACTGGAGAAAAGAATAAAGAACAAAAGAAAGCAATAAAATGCTTGCACATTTTGAAATCATAATGGTTCTGGTTGAACAGAAAGTAGAAAATAATCAATAATCTTTTTACTGTCTGAGCAGTTCGTCACTATAGATGACACGTGGAGACTTCTGAGCACAAGCAAACAGAAACAAAGAACAAAAACATTTCTTTCCCTCAAACGAGGTGTAACACGAAAATGAATACAATACCTGAACGATCTGTGGGTGCATAGAAAAACAAGAAAAGGACAGCAAGAAATTTCGATAACAAAACCTAAAGCTTCAAGGAAGCGCCAGCAAAATAGGATTGTAAAACACGACCAAATTTGCTAGAATAGATATGCATAAAACCAACTGGCATAAAAAGCTAAGCAGAAAGAAATGGCTGGAGCAAAAAAAAAGTCAGGCGCACCTCGGGACTTTGGTAACATTTTGCTTTTCTTTCTCTGCAACTACAAGGCTTTTTTAGCGTGATCGCGTGGACAAGTCGCGGCCTCCCGTGGTGATTCTGTAACTAGAGAGTGCGCCATGTTCAAATTAGCCAATAGCTGATATATTGCCTTCTACGAGTGATTTTTCAGCGTCTTCCGTCATCTGTTGAGAGAAGAGAAATCCATTTTTAGCTCACTTCAATCATTTAATGTGGATTCCAGACCACGTGCTACGTTACAATATTTGACTCACGTGTTGTCAAGAGCCTCTACCGCTGATCGTCAGTTATCCGACTGTGCTAAAGAAGTGTAGCAGGGCCCCTTTAAATGACAGCGCGTGCTGTATTAACCATTATTTAATGACAGCGGGTGCTCTTGCCCCTGAGATCGCTGGCAGGGCAGTTGGTACATACTGAACGGGAAACAGTGCGCTTATACGGGATAAGAAACAGACATACACAGCGCTGAATAACAACTAAATTCATTTTCATGAGACGTGAAAAGAGAAAGGGAAAAAACAAAATAAAAAAGACTGCAATGACATACGTGTGGTTCTTAAAATATGTGTGGTTTGGAGCGCGATTGGTCCCAAGAAACGACGAGGCTTCTTGTAGGTTTGAGAACAATAACACTTTATGAATACATGTAAAATGCACACTAACGCACAAATTAAAGTGTAGAGACCCAAAGAAAAATAGAAAAACTACTTAATAGCAGTCTCTAATGACTTTCAATAAGAAGTCAGTCCTCATCAACTTAGGCTCACCCGTCGTACAGTCAAACGCTTGGTGATGCGAGGACGCGTGCGACACTGAAAGCTTCGAAGAGGTGAGCGGCGTCTGTTAAAGGCTGCACAAGAACGGGCGTCTTGCCTAACAAAGCGTCGGAGGAGGAGGACGTCAGCGGCCACGTCAAGGCCAAAGCTTCTACCCGTCAATCGTGTCGAAGAGCTTTGTCACTCGGGCTGGTCACCCGACAGCGTCCAACAACCAGTACCTTCTGCTCTTCTTTTAGGAGCGAAGCTCCTTACGCCACGGGCTGTGCGTTCCGTGTTTGTAGTATGTAGTAGTAGCCATCTCTCATTTACTCCTTAAAATGCCTGCTGTATGGCGCTACTTCTAAATGGCAAATGTATGATGAAAAGATGTGAGATGGCGGTGCTTCAGTGTTCACTAGATGAACAAACGGACAAACAGACAGATGGACAGACAGACTGATAGACAGACAGCCAAACGGATGTACGGATGACTTCTTCAACGGAACGGAGTTGCTTCTTCAACGGAACACAAGCTCAAGTGATGACGACAGCGTAATAGGTTCGCAAACCAATGATACGGTAAACATGTGGTCCCGTGCAGCCGCGATGGCGCGCTACTCGCTAGCGACCTACTTCTGCGGCAGATTCTTCAAGAAGGCTCGGTACCAATCACCTCAGAGTGCCGTTCAGTTCATGCGCCAATTGTTTTTTGTAGCACGCACTGTTTTCGGTAGCACGTGCCGGTATACGCAAGGCGTTGTTGATGGACGGTCGTTCAGCTGACGCCACCACGTTTTGCACAGCGGCAAAAAAACAACAACAAGGTAGCAAACATTTCGCAGTTCCTATTTTTTAGGAGAGTGCTCTGGTGCGATATACATTTGGCGATCAAGAGTTCATCAAGTGAAGTGGCACGGGGAGTGCGTTCATGCGTCAAATCTTTTCCTATTTGAGTTCACGGGTTGACCATCCTCCCGCAACTACCTTCGATTTCACGATGGGCCACATATAGCCCATGGGCATCGTGAACCAGGTTGTTTAACTCTACACGTGCACCCCACCTTCGAGAAAACATATCTCTTTTTGCGAAAACGCAACTAAGGCTTCCTGAAGCTCTCGTCTCCCCCTCTCTACATACCAGCTTATGACTTTGCACTCTTCGAACGAACGTTGACATGCGCAGTCAGCAACATGCTCAGCTTAGGTGCTCCCCGTAAATTTCAGACGTACGTACGAGCGTATGCAGGACAGTGAGTTCACATAAACAACATCCTTGCTCGCCACAAACAACCTTTTGAGCTTTTTCAGAAGCGTTTGTTGGGGGGCTAGTAGGTAATGCATGCTTTAAAAGATATAACTCCGCAAAACACGAGACAACACAACATCGTCCTGTTCTCTTCGTTTCTTGTGTCTCCTCTTTAGCACAGTCACAATTTTTTTTTCAAGTGTGCTTCTTGGGGCAAATTTTTCGAGCAGGCAGACTGCAATTCAGCCCTCGTCAAAGGCTGCTTAGCTTGTTGCGCCTCTAGCTAACGCCATGAATGTCACGGACGACTGCCGTTTTCTCTTCTATCGAAGCGGCGCACTTCGGTACTGCGTCAAAAGCTCCTAGGTTATGCTGCAATAGAGCGTATCCGGATAACTTACCAGGCGCAGATGACCTGTGAAGGGATGTGCTAAACAAACTCTTGAGGGCAGACGTAGCCACTCACCGCTTGACAAGCTTTGAACGTGCTGGTCTCAAGTGAGGTGCATATTTCGAGCGCTAATGATTTGCACTCAGATTTGTATTTGGATTTCTAGGGGTACTTCTTCTATGAGTATGATGTCCCCTCGTTTTCTGCAAAAACTCGAAGAATGTCGTCGGCACCATATTTATGTCTTTTAGCACTTTTTGAATAAGAAGATAGCGGTCGACAAACTTAGATACCTTTTGCAGTGTACTGCGTTTCAAAGACACGTGTAAATGTTCTTCTTGTAACTTTTTATCCTGTCTAGACACGGTACCTTACGTTCAGCACAAATTGAACTTTCCCGTGCTTTCTGTCACACCCAGCAACGTCCATACAACCTCTGAAGCAAACCAGTGAACTATGGCACCTTCATTGAGCGTTGTAGTAAGCCCCTTTTCAAAGAAAATAAATATAAGTCCTCGGCCGCATGCTAGGCTCAGCTCAAACAGGCCATCCCGAAAGTAAACTCTATATTTCATAAGTTTTCTCGCCAGTTCATTTGTGTGAATTCAAGTGTATACCATGGCGAGTACTTCTTGAACGAAGTTTTCCTATACATTGTCATCATCCCAAATTTACATTTATCTGTTCTGAATGCATCGCAACTACAAATTAACTGAGGTGTACTTAAGCGGAAAGCTTAATAAGATACGCTTTGTAATTCCAAGTGATATTTTAGATAGACTTTCGCCTTAGGAACTTTAGTAGTAATCCGTTTACGCACGTCACTTGAAAGAAGAAAGACAGGGCAGCGGCGTAAGGAATTCACTCAACACATACATTTAGTTGATCTTCTGAACATACTGGAGTTTTGAAAGACGTGAACCTCTGGGATATCCTTTGAGATTGTATAGCGTAACCAGCTTGGCGCAGCAACAGCCCCAAAGGCCGAGAATGCGTAATTTGTTGTAAAATTTTGTTTTATTCACGTCAAACACCGCTATGCTTGGTGGTTCCAATTTGTGCATTTATAGGTGAGATGAGTGTACTAATGGCAGTGCTCTCCAAGTCAGGTTTCTCAGACCCCTGGAGTTCTATAGGCTTTATCTAGTAGCCATGAGAACCGCAAGTCTCGCGATTCTTTCAGCCTCATTGCTTTTGCGAGAGCCTTTCTCCGCGCCTCTGAGACCCCAAAAAAGCGCCAGTATGTGCAAGTTCGTAGTCAGCGCCATGTTTGTGTCTTCTCGTGTGCGTCTTGTTCCAGCGCTAATTCTTCTTTCAAAATCAGTATGTACCAACCAGCTCACTTGCAGACACTAATATTAATCAACACGTGCGAATGTACAGGCGCCGTGGACAACACAACATTATGAAAGGGGCAGCGCCAAAGGCAATAATGTGTCTGGTGCGTCCACAGCACAGCTATTTATATCTGAATTGAAATTCACAGCGCAAAAACAAAACGCGCTCAGCAAAGTAAGCCCAGCGAACAACTATCACTTAACAGCTCGTGGTTTTTCTGCTGCAGCCAACCATGGATCCTGCATATACACCTCCTGATTACGAGGTTTCGTTACAGCGGATGCTTCTCTGAAATGCTGTGATATGCCATTCACGAAATTTCTGGATGTTATCTTAACTAAACAACAGTTTTTGTAGGAAAGCCACAGTTTTGGAAACTCACACAAGCATAAGTAAAAGGCAAGTTATCGCACTGCACTTTGGAGACACGCAATGAAAACAAATCAGCAAAACACAACACTGTACAGAAGTTTGAGCTTAGCTTATTGTGCAACGGTATTTAGCGAGGTAACAATAATGTTCTGCTGCCGCGCTCAAAGTCGTCGGTGACATTCAGGTAAGTTGCCGACACAACAGTTGCTAAGAGGAGTGCTAATGCATTCACAAAACCATTAGACTTCTTGATCATATCCTAACACAGCGCACGGCTACGCGGACACAAGAGAAGAAAAGACAAACCACAGCAATGACTCGCAACTGTGTTTTGATTTGAAAAACGTGAACTAAAAAGAACACTTCAACCGTCACACCCATGTGACCACACTAAGGTAACGTAGTCGTGCGCTGTGTTAAGAAATGTTCAAATATTATCACCAACTGACCCTGCTTTCAGTCCGCCTGTCATGAGACAAGTTTGTACACAATTCCAGCATAAGATGTCATTTTGAAGGCAAACTTTTTCATATCTTGTATATGTATTTTTTGTGAAGGGAATAAAGTGCTAGGATTCAAACAGCATACAGAAACCGATATTGAGTATAAGCAATATCTTTACACCTATTCCGCAAGAAGCTTCTTTTTGCTTTGCGATGGCTTTTAAGCAGATGCTAACCTCGGCACTGAAGGTTGCAAACACGGACACCTGTGTGGATTACAAAAAATAAAGAAAAATGTATGAAATAAAGGCTCCGGAGGCCACGTTTTTGAGGGCCTGGATAAAGAAATACCAGTATTATAGAAACATGGATCCCACAAATAAGGTAAATTGTGAATTTATATGAAGCAAAGACCACTGTAGCGCTGCAGAGTTTCTTGACTTGTCACACCCATTTCGCTCACCACCAATTTCTCCGCAATTGAAGTTTCAGCGTTGTTTATTTTGCTCGCCTACTTTTGGAGCCTGCATACATACCGGTCGCACGGGGTACTTAGCGTACCGCCAAATCCACCAGTGTAGAGGAAGCGTATCCTGCCAGAAATAGTGTTCAAGTCGCAGCGGGAAGAAACGGTCTCGACCGAGGGCATCGCGCGTGTCGCCAGGCGACACGCCGACCTTCATTAGGCAGCGGCCCAGCTCGGCGTCCTCGCTGCCCGCCCCGTCAGATCGACACTTGCCCTGCATCATGCCTTGCTCGACAAGGCGCAGTAGTGCCCCGCGGCTCAGCACGTAGCCGGAGCCACCACTCGTGTATCCATTGGGTATGTGCATGCGGAACGGATAGCCAAAGTAGAGCGCGCGAGTTGGGTCCTTGTCCAACAAGAAGTACCTGGAATGGCAAGTTTTCCCTTAAGCAGGAAGTTTTGTTCGTTTAGAGCGACATTGTCTGTAAATACCAAGGTTTGAACTTGCAAAAAAAAAACCCACGCAAGGTTCTGCGCAGCCTTCTGGAGATCACGTGAAGAGACCTCACGCACTCTAGTGCACCAGTGATAACCAAATCCTATGTACTATCAATGCCACTGATCAAAAATGAATAAAGACGAGACAACGATTTCAGACTACAGTTCACAAAAAAGTCACAGCTTTGTCGCAAAGGCGAAGTATTGAACGCGATAGCAATTTATTGGAAGGTCACGCGCAGAATGGGGAGCAGGTCGAAACGTGCCCCACGTTTCTCACGCACAAATGATGCACGAAACGAACTCACAGGTACGCAGATGAACGCGAATAAGCGTCTCAGTTCGGTGTGTCTGAAAAGCGCGCCCTTTTCGTAAACGAAGGCTGTGCAACTTTGAAGTAACTTTTTTGCATCCCGTACTTACAACAGAATCGTTCTAGTCAAACCCGACGCCAGCCAAGACGTATGATTCTCTCCACTTGGAGATAAGGTCGCTCGAGGGATCGTCAAATTAACTCCACTTTCCTCCTCTCCATGGGTCAAAGTACGCGTGAGAGATGAGACCCGCCGCAGCCACCGCGCGCTCATAGAGCCATCTTGCCGATAATGCTGAAAACTGAATAGCCCCCCCCCCCCCCCAAGATGCCCGCCAACAGCTGTAAGTGCTAGATATATATAGCTTGCCGTTTGAATGTAGAAGAAAGTATCTATCGGTGGCTGAGTAATTAATTAACGCCTAACATTAATGATGTGGAGGTTCTACGTTCGATTCCGCGCAATGGAGTCTTTTTTTCTGAAATTTGTTTCTTTTTGCGTTTTCATATATATATATATATATAAGAAGCATGACATTGACGCCGACAGCAAAAGCAAACCGAGAGAGAGGGCCCATATAATTGCTATCGCAATAATATACTGGGCAGTGGGTTGAGGGAGCGCCCGCGAGTGATCATTCTCAAGTAGGTGGCACAGATAATGTACACACAGCGCCAGCGCCACGTGTACTGCATGAAGTCGCGGCAATGAGCTTCTTCGATTTGCGCTTCGGCTTAGAAGTTACTACGTTATATAAAGCCAACATTACGTGATCCATAAGTCCTAAGTGGGCTCGCATTGACGGCGCAATGTTCGCTTGAAATGCTGACCACATCCGCATTGGTATCTGCCGCACAACGAGTAATTTACTGGAACGCACGCGTATCAAACACACCGTCATTTGAAGAAAAAAAAACGAATGGTGGGCATGGTGTAAACCACCACCCACCATTATCGCGGATTGATGTAGTGGGTGAATGCTGGAAAAGCGTCCACCGTGCACATGGGGTATGTTGCAGTGCCAGCAACGCTTCAGCGCGAAATGGCATCAGCATCACCGTTAAGAGTTGCCACAAAAAATAAAAAGAATTGTATAAAAAATGACGTAAAAAGCACCCGTATAACACCAAAAGCCATCGTGTAGATTTGAACGTGCAACCTGCGGATTCTCAATCCAAGACACTAGGCACTGCGCCATGCCAATCTTTTTTTCTTTACTACAGCATGTAACATTCAAACAACAGAAAACGCACTATGACTAAGATTCTAGCTCAATGCCATGGCTTCAAAGCAGATGAGCCATTTGCCACACATGCTTAAAATGGTTTCATTTGACATAATTTATCCATAACATATAGCAACTCATCATTGCAGCAAAGTTTTGCAAAAACTTCTCGCAACTTACCCATATGTTTAATAAAATAAATAAGTACTGGCCGCGCGTCTATATCACATTGTCAGACTGCCATGTGGCCCAGCCAAATGCTGTGTAAGCCAAGGAGAAAGAACAAATTGTATTTTAGTAGGCCAGGTTCTATTGCTAAAATCAAATTCCATGTGAAGTGAGAGGTATATATTTCTTAGGTGTTCTCTGTAGAACATCACAAAACAAAAATGCGTCCCAACAATTGATAAAAACATGCTCTACCGACTCACACTTTCGGGACAAAAAGCAGTCGGATTCCCACGGTAAAAAAGTGCCTTTTTGTTCTAACCACGTTTTAACCGGCAGTGTATTCCTGTGCAGCTTGAAAAAGAATGTTTTACCTCCAGCTGGTACGATAATCTTTTCACCTCTTTACAAAACGTCTTCTCTTTGGCTTCCACTAGACATAGAACGATACAAAGGAACAGAAAAATCGTTTCAATCAAATCTCTCGACAAACGCTCCCGAGTGACATTAGATAAATACTTCTAACTAAATCTAGCACTAAGAAATCAAAAAGCTGCAACAGCTTCTCGAAGAAAGCTACTGATACCATAACGTAATTCATCAATCAAGGTAAGAATAAAGTTCGGCAAAGCCGATGCTAGCCTGACTTGAAGGAATGTCCGTAAAAAACAGATCTCGTTGATCTCGTAGAAATAAAAACGGGAAAAATTGATACAACCTGCCGTATAAATAAGTGTGGCAAGGCTAAGCCACCTGTTTTAGTCTTCAGAAGAGGTTGTTTCGGCTTGTTCGTTGATGCTGGGATTGCCACATGAAAACAGCAAGAAACTTATGAATCCTCTGAATATTGATCCTGGAACACGAGAGTACTTGCAGCAAATAAACCAGCCGCGATACTAAGAAGACGTTGCATGTTATCGCGCGAGCGAAGACGGGCAGATCACGGCCTACCCATTTCTCTGTTAGAACAGATAGCCCTTTGGTTTTGTAGGCCCACAGATCATTGTTGTTCTACTATTGGTCTAGCAGAACACCGAATTATGTGTTAGGCTTGCTTGATCATTTGATTCGTTCATACACCGCTGGGAACATTTCCCTATTTCAATGCCACAGCAAAGCACATTTGTCTATGTTTACAATGCTAGTAGTAGCATCGCAATACCCTTGTACAATGCCCATGGAGGTGGGTATGCTCCTCTGATAGGTACAAAATATAGCAACATTATCAGAATTTGCCAATATCTTCACCTCACCCGCGCCTAAATGAAAAGCCTGTATGCTTTAATTTTTTGTAATAGCCACGCACAGAGGTTCTAGGTACAAAGCAAATAATAAAGGCGAAAGTGGGCATCTTAGCCTTAGATAGGAACGTACTTTAATAATTCCTGTTGATTCGCGGTTCACTAATATCACAGAGCCAACGCCAACATGTTCTAACAATTTAAACAAAATGCTATGACAAACTACATCAAAAGCTTTCGCTAGATCGATTTGCAACATTGCAAGTCTTCTGAAGTCAGCGTCTCAGCACTTCAGTATGCTTCGTGTTGCCTGAATGTTCGTAAAAATTGATCTTCCTTTTATTCCACAGGTTTTGTGTGGGCCTACCAGGGTACATATGAATGTTTGCAACCGCATTACCAGAACTTTAATTAGTATTTTGTAGTCCACAATCGTCATTGTTATCGGCCTATAGCCTGACACATACTTCTGTTTTACAGGATGTTTACTTTTCGGGATCAGAACAGTGTAAGCTTTCTTGAATGAAGGCAGTAGGCTACACCGGTTAAAAGATTCAGCGAAAACCTTTTGTTTAACAGTGGCTAACTCTGCCTTGAAAGTCTTTAGAATATTGCCGTTATCTCGTCGGGGCCAGGAACTTTCCCGTTATGCAATTGGTCTATAACTATTTCTGTTTCTGCCGCAGTTATATCAACGGATATACCTTCTGTATCTTGGCGATCTAGCGTTGGCAAAAAAGCTAGAAAAATCTTTTTCAAGAGTGGCTTCTTTAGGCATACGATTGGAAAATAATTTGCGATAATATTCTGTAACTGCATTCTTAATAGCTTCTGGTTTAGTCGTTCACTGACCATTATCAATTTTTGTGATGTCTTTATCACGGGCGTACTTTTTTTCATATCAAGAAATCACTGATTAGGCATTTCATCAGCGAGTGAACTGTCTGCTCGAGCCCTTAAAACCGCACCTTTTAATTTAGTGACGTCAATGGCCTCAGTTTGTTTTAATTATCTCTAATAACTTCGTCGTAAAACCAGGCTTTTTTGTTTATGCCTTGCTGTATTCCACAAGTAACTTCTTCAAACTATTCTCTTCTACTCGTATCTTGTACCGTATCTTTGCAGCCTTTTTCCTGGTGCATATTTTCACAGCAGATATAAACGATTCCCGATTTTCCGACGAGTTACTGAATGCAAGGGTGTTAAGTTTCTGTAATTCTTTTTGATACAACTGAAATATTTAGCATCACTAAGTAGCATCTACCTTCCAAAGGTCCCATATTAATGCACATTTAGGAGCTTCTTTTTGGCCTAAGGAAAATATAACAAGTGAGTGATCGCTGAATGAGACTTGCTCAACACCATAATCATCACAAACGTTTCCCAGCTCTAATACCACGTAAGCTTTGTCCAATCTTGCGTGGCCACATCCCTGAAAATCGATATAATTACGGTGCAATCCGTCTTTAGCAAAGAAAGCAACGTCCTGAAGGGAATACTTGTCAATACTTTCTTCTAGGTAGTTAGGTAACTAGCAGTGTCATCTTTTTTACCTAACCAGCTAGATCGATCATCTGCACTGAACACACAGTTAAAATCATCAAGAAGAACGAGTAGCCAACTAGTTTCAAAATAAAGACAGAGTTCTTGGAAAAAAAAGATAAGCGATCACGAGGATCTGTTGGAGCGTACACGCAAATTATTCTGAATTTCGCATCTTCATAGGTAAAATCACACAAAATAAACCTTCCGTACAAAGAGGTAAGCAGTGTTTCCTCAACAACTCCTAAACATTTGTTAATTCATATAGCACACCCTGCAGAAGTACCTATTGCATGGCTAACACGCACGTTATAACGCGTGTTGAAAAGAGCAACAAAATGTTCGGTTCCACTTTCGCTTCTATCTTTTGTCTTTTGGACTGCAAGTATGTCCAAGGTTTTTTCTTCAATGTGATGCCTAACCTGACACTGTTTACG